TACTCAACAAATGAAGTGTGCCGGGTGAAGGGTACACGTTTTGCATCAAGAAGGTGTTCTGACCTGTCGTTTTTGGACGGCCAAACTACTATTATATAATACATAACTAACTACATAACTAATAGTCAGTCTTACAGCACCAAGTCTTACTTGGTGGCTAGTGCGTCCCTGTGTCCTTGTGCATCCGGAAGCATTCTGAGTTTCACCATCACAGCTTCCGCCCTCCTTTGTGACACAGCCGTTCTGATTCGCTTGCAGCACCACGGTGCGACCATCGGACAGGGACTTGCGTGGCTGTGCCGAGTTGCAAGAGCTGCGAGGTGGTGCAGTGAGCGGCTCAGATGTTTGCCATGGGCGCAAGGGCTCAGAGCAGCAAAGTTGGGAGGTTGTTTGCATGCGACAGCTGTGGATTTGGACATGACATCGCACATCTTTGCACTATGTGGGGCATGAAGGTTACAAGCACCAGGGAAGCCAAGCAACAAAGCACCTCAAAGAAAGCACTTTGTGAATCTTTGTGAGGTAGGCATGCCCCAGAATTTGATGGTGCATGGACCTTAAAATCAGACGAGGTGAGGTGGAAGTGAACAGAACATATCAGAGCACGCGCTTTGTTTGAGGTCAGGGGCATACTACTTTGAAGTTTGGGTGCGCAGTGGGGAAGAGGTACGACTCATAGATCCTAAGAAGTGCTGCGCCACCTGCCAACTATGTCCGCAGGTCGCAGGTTTTGTCGACAGTGCTTGGGCTGGTCTGGAGGAGCATCAGTGGCCCATCGATGCAGAAGTTCCGCTTGATGTGCGTAGTGTGTCCACTGGGTCCACGACTTCAAATAGGCCTCAGTTCATTCGGGTTCGTGTGGCCAAAGGGAGCCGGATATGTATGATATGTCTATTACACTGGAGATTAGACGCACTGCGAGTCGGCGAGCAATTTTTTGTTCCTTGTTTGTGAGTGAGGCTGTCAAGCAGCACAGGCCGTGAGTTTGAAAACAATGATCACTGTCCATCTACGCTCGCTCCTTGCTAAGCTTACGCTAGTGAGAATGCATGTGCCATCATTTGCCCCTGCGAGGTTCGAACCCTGGCCACATAGGCGCGATTGACTGCGCGCGTGAATGTGCCGATTGTACACAAAAAGTTTGCGCAGCTTTTGCAGCTCCATGAAATCCATTGGTCCGGAGCTAAGTAGCTGACCAAGCCTCAAACCCCTGCAGGTATAGCTGTCAGATTCTTGGCAGAGGAACTGGCTGAAGTACGCTTTTCTTGGGATGGCACTTGGAAAAACCCTCAGCAAATTCAGCACCTCAGATTGAACATGACTAAACTGGTCGGATGTTGCTACGCGTTCTCAGAAGTGCTGAAGAAGAGTGTGCAGATGCCTTTGTTTACCAGGTTCAGCCAGTACCTCATACCCGTCGTTTTTGCATTGGTAGCTTGGCACATTGGCAAGTTGAGTCATCCTGAACCACAAAACCCAGTTGAACACACACACACATATACTGAATATATATATATATACACAGTATGCATGTATGTAATATGTTATGTTATGCTATGTTATGTTATGTATGTATGTAGGTAGGTCGGTGGATGGATGGATGGATGGATGGATGGATAGATAGATAGACACACACACAAGTAGGGGAAGGGAAGGACTAATTACTCACATTGTGAGTTAGAGTTCTTGGCAGAGTCAGTTGCAGCATGAGACGGCCTGTCCAATCTGAAAGAATATCTAGCGGAAAGAATATTTGCTCGTTTCCTTGTCAGGAAAGCTCGTGGAGAATTCCAGCTGATGCTTGGCTTTTCTTGGCACCTTCCATATTTTACCAGCCGCTGACGCAACGAGAATTCCCTCGCCTTTGCGCTTTTCCGTTGGACTTTGAGATGATGGCTCAGCCCCCTGCGCTTTGTCTTGGGAAATGTGGGAGATCTCGCACATTCCAACATCTAAAAAAAAATATAGGACCGGACAACCCGACATGTTAACATTTCACCAGACACAGGAGCGGACAGTTGGTGGTTAGTGGTTGGTGGATCCGTACCCCCTTATGATGGTTCCAGGAGCGGGGACCTAAAAATGTAAGTTACAATTTAGGGTGGGACTAGGGGGTCCAAAAATGTAACTTACCCCCCCCGGGCACCATCGAAACGGGTAAAGGGTGGCGGGGGGTTCAAAAAGATGTAACTTGTGACCTGGCACGTGCTTACTTACATTTTACAACCCCGTCCCCGAGGGTGCGTCGGCAGATCGACAGGGTAGGGGGGGGGGTCTGGAAAATGTAAGTTACAACCTGGCAGGCATGAACTTACATGTTTAAACATCCCCTACCTATAGCGTCGGCTACCTAGAGCGTTAGCGGGCGTTAGCTTATGTCAGCTTGAAATGTTGCATAATGATGCAGGTTCACAACATGGTGATGCAATTTGCTGCAAGCTTCCAGACGCAACCAATGAAGCCAAGCGAAAATCCTGACTATACGCACACAAAAGGATGCCTCACCACCAAGCAAAAACAGCCTTAAGAAATGTAACTTACAATTTAGTCCACGCATTCAAACCTCAGATTTTGCAGGCAAAACTGGGTTATGGGAGAAAGGTTGACCTCACAAATTGTAACTTACTTTTTTGCCACATGCCCAATCCTTTAGAATTTACAAGGAACTGGGGTGTTTCCCTGAAATAATTACATTTTAGCATATTGAAAATCACACGCAGGTAACGCCACGAAGCGCAAACACAGGACAAGCAGACAGGGGAACAACAAGCATTGATTATCCTTGGTCTCCTTCAAAAAAAGGCAACCGTGTGAGATCACGAAAGGTAGCCTGGTAAGGACTACCTTGAGTTTGCTTTGCGAAGCAAAGGGACTGGCTTGAGAGCCTGCTCGGGACTAAAGATTGGTAGGTCAATGTCGAACACCCCCACCCCCCCCCTCCCCCCCCCTCCTCCCATGTGATGATTCATTGATAAATCAATTGATTCGACCCTCCCCCCCTCCCCTCCACTCCCCTCCCCGTCCCCTCCCCTCGTCGCCAGCACTACTAGCATTCTGGACACACCATCACACCATAAGGTGAAGTCATGCGCTTAGCAGTCACAGCAGTACGACGCTGGCCATGAGGTTGCGCAATACAGCACGAACCCTGCACAATGAGGTTGCGCAATGCGGCTTAGATGCCGCGCCTGCGCACCCGGCAGCCTGACACAGCGCGTACTGCGTTCATGGACCATATTGCTCGACACCAACGAGCATCAATGCAACACAGCCTCTCTGCAAAGCCCTGTGGAGAAACCTCTCGCTTCGCGGAACACCATTCGACTCTGCCTTAAACCCTAGGGTGGCGAAATCTTACCGCATTGTGGAGCACCACTACACAGCTATTTATGCGCCCTTCCCATCAGCCACCCACCATAGCGTGACGTCCATCCCTGGCAGTACCGGCCGCACCCCTCCAGCACTATCCTTACAAGGAGGTTGGTCACTGCGGCTTCGACGCAACGCGTGCAGGCCTGTAATCCTGACACAGTGCGTGCAGCTGTGGGACCATAGCTGGTACACATGCGAGTGTTTACGCATTGCGACTTTTACGCGCGCCTGTTTTCACACACTTTTACACAAACGAGCGTCGACGCAACGCAGCCTCTCTGCAGAGCCGTGTGGCGCAATCTGACCGCAACTGTGTT